TAAGCAATCATCCAGACTCTGGTTCAGAAGTTGCTGGAAACAAGGAATGCAACATGTGTAGGATTCCTCTGTGGATAGTGACTTTCAGTGACCCTCAATTCACTCCTTGTAAAGCTTTGTCCAAATTCTTGAATGAAGTGTGCTTGACAATCCCTTCATTGGTATGGCTATCCCTATAGCTGGTGGACATTTTCTATCCACAGTTTTCCCATACATTCAATTTTTATGAATATGCATGAACGTCACACTCTCTAAACAACCATTCTCTGTGGCAGTAGCCTTTTGTGTACTACACTCTTTGTAGATCAATGCCTGTCTTCTGTTGACTTTTGCAGCAACACTTTGTAGCAACATATTTATGTTTTTATCATAAATATGTTGAGCGTTAACAAATCTGATTAGTACCAGAATGCACATAGCACGCTGCATAGAAGATTATTAAACAATTGTTTGATAAAAATGCTGAAACAATTAACAAAATATTTGTTTTTAGATCAGTAAATCAAAGATTTATTGTGCAATTGTCACTGTGAATTTACTGATTTGGGACAATATCTCCATCAAAATAATTTTCAGAACAGAATAAGGAAAGAAAAAACATTAGCATTTCTTATATCACAGAGTTTTTTAAAACTAATAAATAAAAGTAATAAAGGAAGAAATATAAATAGACAGATGCTAGAAAATATTATGCAATAGCAAACCATGAGGGAGTTTTGTGTTAGAGAAAAAGTCTAAAGTCAAAATCAAATAAATTACCTTAAGAACACAGCCTCTTAAGGGTTAATAGAAATCAAACAAGAAGCTGGCTCTCGTACCAAATGGGGCACCGTTTGACGCCTGCTGTTTAATTTCTGGGGGAAAATCCAAATGAGTGCAAAGAACAGAAGGGAGAAATTAATCTAATTTGTCAGTTTGCCTCTTCAACTACTGCACTCATCTGTTTCTGAAGAAAGACGCACTTGGTGAGTCACCACAATGTCCATCACACCAGGAAAATGAAATGAATAATGACAATATAAAATTCCCTCTACTGCTCTCTCCTCTTCCCTCTCTGTCTTTCACATTCTTTGCTCACATATCACACTCATTTGCCAAAAGGTTTCTTTAGGCCGCCTTGGCTTTTCTTTTTAATTGGTATTCGACTTTCTCCCACTCCAAGGTTTTCATCTCCGAGCTGTATACTTTTTTATTTTTGTCCTTGTCCGCTCACTTCATCATCCTATGCTTTTGTTGTTTTTAAGAAATTGTGCCTATTTACTGTCTTTGTTTTTCTGCTTATTAACAGGGTGGCAAAGTATTAAAATTACACAAACAACAATTTACAAAGCACACAACATTTAACTTCCATTTTAGTGCATTCCATATCAATAGTGGTACAGGTTCCTCTAACTATTCCCAGAATCACAAATTGCTTGGGTGAAGTATTCTTTCTATTACCTTTCTTTTTTATTCATTTTGTTTTACTTTGTGTTCCACTTCTTTTTTGTAGATGGCATGTAAGGGGATCAACCTGTGCCTCTGCAGAAGTGTTAAGCAAGCACTCTTTTTTTTAATAACCAGCTGATTGAATTTGTTGTTTCACCTTCTTTTTGAGATTTGATTATTATGTCTCTTTCTTTAATTACGTCAATCTTTTCTGTTTTATGAAACAACTGGTGTTTCTAGTTATGTTTATTTCATGTCCTTAGTTTAATTATTATTATTATTTTTTTTTTTTTGTAGTCAGGAGCCTTGATCATATTGAACAATGTCCAATGAAAAAAAACTTAAAAATTTACAAAAATCTCAGGTATTTCAGGGCTGAACAAAAAACATAAATGAAAAAATCAGCAGGTAACACAGAGAATATACCAGTGTATAATAGGATGAACCAGCAATGAGTGTGGGTGGGAAAGTTAAGTAAATGTTGTGAGGGTGAATGTTGGAACCAAAGACCTGGGCTGCTGAGCTAACAAGTTGTAGGTCTGAGGGGAAAGAGCAAAAAGCAGCCTGAGGACAGAGAGAGAGAGAAAAATGGCAAAGGGGGTGAGAGAAATTAATATAACAATAAAGAATAACTATGTATAATCTGCATTTTAGTCCAACCACAATCTGTGAAAAAAAACTGTGAAATAGTATATATCAGCATATTCTTCACACATTTTAAATGTATTATTGTTCAATTAATCTAATGGAGAGACATTTCTCTTTCTGAAAAGAATAACAAAATACTTTTTTTTTGTGATACCAGATGTACAAATAAATTGATAAGTAAATTTTATAAAAGAAAAAAAAAACTCTTAGTCTTTTTTGCTTGTCTTGGTGAGGTATTGCATTTAAATGTCAAAACCAAACTTATATCCAAAAGTTGGCTTAAAGGAAACCAAAAACAAAAGAACACATGTTTTGCATGTTCCCCGGCTCAGTATTGTCTTTGTTACGCCATAGACCAATCTGTCACCCTTTATTGCTTCCCCAACATATTGCATCCCTCCCCTGCAGCTAGAATCCCCTTTGGACTAAATGCTAATTCAGTCAGGCTCTTAATCAGACATATTAATTCCATATCTACCTTGATTGTGCTAATTCCACTCTGGTGTGATTTTTTTTTCTCCTGATGCATCTCTTTTTGGAGGAAAAGTAGTACTGGAGTAGCAATCAAGATCTTTTAAACATTTAATCCAAAAAAATTATATTAAATATGTTTCATTAGAAAGAGTGATGTACAGTAAAGTCATTCTAAATACATTCCAAAGACATAATGACTTTACTGTACATCACTCTTTCTAATAAAAAACTGGAATCTGGCAATGGTTGCTATATCTTTTGGCATCTTAAGTGTTTGTCTATATTTAGGTAAGTCTGTTTGTTAGTAACTATGTTCATAGACTGCACTGGCGCAGACATGCACACACTGAAATACTGACAATATGTTAAAAAAATCCTACGAACTCACATGTTGTCCAGTAAACATGGTGTATAGTCTAGACATATTTAATATCAAATGAAAACGTATCAAAATGCACATTTAGCTGAATTTTAATTGATTTAGAATCCATGATTTAACATAGAGAATTAAAAACCTTTTGAAAAAAAGAAGAGTACTTTGCAGTACAGTGCATTAACTGTTATATTAAGATTTACTATTTTCATTGTTACCTATTTATTTTCTCAGTCGGACAATCAGTCTAATGTGGTTTAACTGTGCGATGCCTTGCTGTGACATTGATAATATGGAGCTGCCTCTGTAACTTCAGCCCCCAAAATAGCAATTTGTAAACATTTCACATATTTGAAATATTCATAAACTCTTCTTGAATTTGTCACAAGCAAAAGCAAATTTGCAAAATTTGCAAATACTCCAAGAAATCACATGCGAGAGTCACTGTCAGCTGTGACAGACTGGCAACCTGTCCAGGGTGTAACCCGCCTCTCGCCTGAAACATTCTCTGGAGATAGGAACCACTAGGGTCAAGGGTGTATAGAAAATGTATGGATGAAGGGATGGATGGAGTCATTGTCAGAAAATGATAATTTCATAATGTGACGTGTTAAACCGTGATCATCTTTCAATGCAAACTTCATTGGACTTTAACTTTTTGTGCTAATACATCACCTGAGAAAGTAGCTCCTCTCTGCTGGGCTTCAGATGTCAATGTGCTTGTTAAACACTAGCATGTGTGGTCGCTGTGCAAGAGGAAGATAGTGTTTAATGTAGGGACACAGCCACATTTTCAGGAATCTCAAGATTATATTATAAATATAGATTTTTTGGTGACCTAATATTTATGTTGAAGGCTATAAAAGACTTCTGAACAAAAATATGAGATTTATGTGATTTTTTTTTTTAGGATATAAAACTGGGGAGAGCAACTGGGAAGCGAAAGTCGACCAGAGGGGGTAGTTGATCCCCCGCTTTGCCTCCTGTAGTTCTGTCATGATTCTGTCTGTAAGTGTGCCTGTCCACCAAAAACACGTACATTTACCATTAGATAATGACAAATGGCTAGCAGAGCTAAGCTTATTTCACCACTTCTCCTTTGGGAGTCTATTCTCGGCATACTACAAACTGCACTGCCTCTCCCCACAAAATATCTTAATTGAAAGAGTAGCTGCTCACCCATTTGATTCAGCATGGTATGCTTTTCTGGTCTGTTTCAGAGGGTGATGTAGTGTGATCAGCAGGTCAAAATATGTTGACTTTTTGGAGCAGAAGACACTGATATTAGTCATGATTTGTTGCATCATTGCTCTTAGAGACAGGGACTGTGGTTATGGCCACAGACTTCTCTCTTTTTTAGAAAAAAGAGAGAAGAAGAAGATGGCTTAGTCGGTCTTGACTAAATGGTTTTATGTAGATGAATGATGTTAAATTAGTAATGAGAAAACAAAACTCTTGCAGTCACGCAAAGATGTCAGTAAGACCACTGAATGATGGTGCAGTCTGAAAGTGTTTTTATTTGACAAACTTACTGTTGGAATATATAAAAAAAGTATATATATATATATATATATATATATATATATATATATATATATATATATATATATATATATATAAATTTTGGGAAAAAAATGCATACTTTTTCAAGTTTGCTGTACAGAGTCAAGGCTACATACTTACACTTTCGAAGTGTATCACACTTTATCTGCTTTTGAAATGCCCGATGTTTTTGTCAATCTGTGGATTTAAGCTTTGCATAGATCTTAGAGATACATTCTAAAATACTTACTTAAGAACCAAAATGAAAAACATAATGATATATCTTTTTGGAGTATAGCACACATTTCTCAAATCATCCTTGACATTTGTGAAACAGTGTATTTCTTAAAACAGCAAAACACAATGGACTACCTGCAAAAGCCAGGATCTTTCTCAATATCCTTGTTTCATCTTTCAAAAGCAATGGAAGTATTTTCTTATATTTCTACCAACATTGACCTATTTATTGTTGTAGGTTGATGTTTTGTTTTCTCAAGAATGGCCTATGCTTATACCTTGTTTCTTGTATTTACAGGCACACATGTTGGACTGGAAGCTGGAATAAAAATGACCAGAAGTCAAAGTACAAGTTATTGAACTGGCAGGTATGAAATGGGAGTTTGTTCACCTTGACCTTCTTCCTAAGCTTGCAAGAAGGTTTGATCTACCAAAGAATGAAAGAAACAGATAAACAGATCATTTGAAAAAAAAACAAAAAGACTCCATGCGACACAACATAGCTCCATAATTATGTACCTTACCTTACTTTGTAAACTGCAATTCTTGAAAAAGTACAAAATCCACAAATGAACTGTCTTTGTGGGGTGGGAGTCTTTAGAATTATCATTGGAGCCTTTACTGTTAAAAAAGAGTGCAATACAAAAATAACTAAAATGATTTTAATGCACCAAACACTTTACAAATCAAAAGCACAGTTTTTTTTTTTTTTTTGTTGAAATAAAATGTGTTCTATTTTAACAGTAAAAATCATATTATTATGCAGAACAATTATAATCTGTAAAAATTTTGTTTGGAAAAGTTCTTTGTCAAGATAGTTCATTTAATATTTGCATTTGTTTAATCCATTGAAATGGAAAAAAAAAATAGCTGAACTGTTTTAAGAATACTTAAAATTACTTGACAGCCTATTGGGAAAAATAATCATCCAGGCTATTAAGAACATCAAACTGGAACAATACTGGCACTAAAGGATGCCCTGGGTCCTTTAAAGTAGCATCACTTTCTTGGGCAGCTTTACGACCATGCAGAGCAATCACTGAAGATAATGACTCCCACTAGAAGTTTTACTTCCTAATCACCAACCCATAAGGGACAACAATTATTTTCTAACTACCTAACTAATAAAGACTTGTTTTAGGGTTGCTGTTGTTTTGTTTTTTGTTTGTTTTTGGGTTTTTTTTTTTTTTGGTTTTTAACACATGTTTTTGAAATATTAAATTTCAGAAATACTAGATTTGTTTTTAGATATTTTCAGTATACAAAGGACATCTGTCAGTGTGATGTTTCTTTTGAACCATCAGAGAAAACTCCCAATGACCCATGTTTGAATTATATATGAAAGATTGCAGCATACAGACGTATTCTCAGCAGGGTCAGTTTTTGATGTTGGCAATATGAAACTATGTTTGTTTTCAGTGTTCACATTGAATTTATGTTAGTAGGTTTTAGAATGACTTTCATAGTTGAATTAGTCCAAAAATCTATTTCTCTCCAAACAGAAAATAATGTTATGGGTTGACTTCACTGCATAAACAATTTATGATTGTAACTGAAACATATATAGGCTATTTATTTTTGTTTGTCAAATGTATTTTTTTTTTTTGAATTAAGGTCTACTTAGGCCACTTTACTTTAATCAGTTGACAAGACCTGACTACATTCATCATCGGCTCAAAAAACAAAACATGCTTGATTGTGATGGAGGTCGAGTAAGATCTGTCTGCGATTTTACATGATCGAAGATGCTTCCCTTTCACCTATCCTAATCGTCCTGTCTAGCTAACCAATTCTACAGCTTGATGGAGACTTTTCCCAAGTGGGAATACGAGGTAAAATCAGGCAATAAATAAATAAATAAATCATATAATTTCAATCTGGAGAGATTCACACAGAGAAAAGCAGCAGCAATTAGAGAAGTTTACTTGAAAGTAGGTTTCTTTGGTGCTCAGACCATGACAGAAGATGTATTTGCTGTTGAGAATGAATAATCTTGTGTTTTCCTTCCATATATTCTAGCTAGTTGCAAAGCTAAAGCTAAAAGAAATGACACGGTAGGAAATGCCCTCAAAGCTACGGTTAGAGAATATGACACACTAGGGAACGCCCTCTGTAGGGCATTGCTTAGAGGCTAGCAAAGAGAATGAAAAACTTTAGTTTGATGCTATTTTGTTCTGCTCACCCTTAAGGATAGCACAATCTCCACAATGCTGAGAATTGCTAAGGGTGAGGATTAGGATCTTCTTCCCCTCCGGCCCCGAACACTAGTGGAGTGGAGAATGGAAGGTGTTTGGGAGGATGGGGTCAGAGAAAGGGTGGGGGTGGGTTGAAGCAGATCTGGGAAGCAGGTGGATCAATGGATGATGAGCTTTATGAAGGGACTTTTGATAGATGATTGGCTGAGGAGGAGCGGGGATCTGGTGGTGATTGGTTGCGGCAGAAAAAAGCAATGATGATGCAGATGAGGCTAGAGAGAGTCTCCCAGCTTGAATTTGCACCAAAGGCTCCATGTGTCTTCATCTCAACACAGTGAGAGAACATGCAAACACCCAGCAAAAATAAAATGCATATTAGTATAAAAAAGCACTATGGTAAGCAATGCTGAAATGTTGTAGATTAAAAACAAAAATTCAAACATCAAACAAATCAACCAGTTCTTTTTTTAGACGTAACCCTTCAGCTTTAGTGACTTGCTCCTTAAATCTGAGAGACAGGTTATGGTTTCAGTGTGGCAAGAAAGAATGGAAATCTTTTACGACAAAAGCTATATTAAAAGTAAAGAAAAGTTCATGCAATTGAAAAAAAAAACTGATTTGTCTCACAGTCAGTCTGGATAACTGATTTAACTACTTCCATAAGGAGTTTACTGCATGTTGGCTGCTCAATTATTGGCAAAATTAATTGAATTAAAAAGATGATGGGTTCTGTTTTTTCATACGGCATATGAAAAAACAGAAATATTGCACAAATTACGATGATGTATATTTGACAGGGAGCAGTATTTAGTTTTTCTACTTTCACCACAATAATTCATTCTTTTTGCAAATGTAGAAGTGCACCAAGCTTTTGGTCGCTTTGGAACAGAGCTGGTTCTTTATGATGCTTTCAAGCCCACGTATAAAGGTGCTGTCTGTCAGCCCTTTTAAAAAGTTAAATGCCATTCATCTTATTTGATATAACTTACATGAATAGTTGCTTTTGTGGTTCACGAACTTCAAAGATTCTTTTTATGTGGTTTTACTCAAAATTGATCTATGCTTTTTTTCTATCCATTCCTGTGGGGCTGGATAGGGTGTCTTCATAGAAATTGATATTAGAGTGCTGCAGTGAACTCAATTGGCCTGCTTTTGTCTCTTGAAAATGTTTTCTGTGCATTTTTTCTACACCACAGCTTTAGGAGTCTTAAGAGCAGTTTTGTGGGAAAGACCTGAGCTCAGCAAAAGAAAATGTGCAATGTGATGAGACATTAATGGTTTTGTTTCAAACAAAGTACTTAGTTTGTTAAAAAGAATAACATGTGTTTTTGTAGGTTTTGGCCAAACACAATTTCATGGAACTAAAAAAAGTCACATTTTTATGAAATGACATAACAGCTTTCAAATATTCAAAGATTCTCAGCCAGAAGAGACATTTGTTTACTGAAGACTCTTGGAACGCCTGTAGATTTATATGCCTTGTCATATAGTCCTCTACAAATACATGACAAAGAAAAGCATGTTTTAGGGGAGGCCTTGTTTGAACATTTTAGCTGGTTTGAAAATCCCAATCATCTTTGATGGATTACAGAAGAGTGCCATTAAAGTGTTTCACAAAAAAGTTTATTTATTGCCATAAGAAATGTAAGGTAGTTTGATTGCAGAACTATACTCAAAACACTCACAGGTAGAATTTGTAAAAGCCTTACAAAAATTTTAATATAATCCATATGAATGCAGGTTATTTTTCATTTACCAGTTGAAATTTCACAAAATATTTTGAAACTGGACACTTTTTCAGATTATACAGAGGACCAAACGTTGATTGGTGAGACAAAATTCTTACCAGATTGAACTGTTTGGTAGTGGACTTAGTTTCATAACAACCTAATGCAAATTTATCAAAGACATTGTTAAGCTGACATGTTAGTGCCAACACAATTAATCATTTCATGCAAAAACGTTTTAGGATATTAAATTTAGCAGATGGTCCATCTGCTTGACAATTATACATTCTTAAGAAACACTCTTGATGTGGAGCTGTTCTGTTCCGTTTTTTTGTAATTATTCCTCAATGAGTGTTTTTCTCCAATTTTTCATAATAAGATTTTCTACATTTTGTGTGACTGCTCATATGTACTTCTCAAGAAGCCAGTTCATAAATATATTATCCTATCTCTATTATTCCGCATTCTGGTGGTTTAGAAATATTACCATAAAGTACAACAAATGATTACTGCAATGATTACAACACAGAGCTGTAGAAGTTGAGAAACAACTGTTTCTCATTGGGAAATAATCCCACCCGTCTGTGTGAGCTCACTTCCCATTTAACCTCTGCATGATTTAGAAACCGTTAAAATGATCCAGACCAACCTTGACCTCAAACAGACACCAGAGTGACAGCAGCATTACCGACAGACTCCTGCCATGACATCCTCGAGGGGTAGTTAGCAACCATTTTCTACCCACAGCTTCTCTGAAATGTTCACAGGGTGAAGATTGATTTTATCAATAGCTCTTATCACCTACTAGTTCTTTCTGCCAACACACTGCTCTCCATGAAACAAGCCAAATGCCATGTACACATCTTAGGGAAATTTGCACATAATGAAAGCCCACACTTCGGATACATTTGAAAACACATGTATCAAAAATAACTCTGTGTGGCTGCATAATGTCTTCATTTTTAAATAATATACAGCTTAATTCTCATGCATGTACTTTTCCTACATTACATATAATAGGTACACATTTCCACTTATATTCAAGATTTTGCCAAACATATATATCTTGACTTGATCTGCATGTCTGAATTCAATACAGTTACACACATGTACAAAACATTTACATGGAATTTCATGTACAACAACTCAAAATTCACATGCTACTCTGTGTGCAGCAGCTGATGTTATGTTTACTCAACAAAACACTAATAAAAGACCACATTCAAAACTAGAGAAAAACAGATGATTGTAAATAACGAGAAACTGTATGTTTACAAAGAGATGCACTGAACAAACATGTAGTGATAGCACGGAGCCCCCAAGAAGTAGAGGCTGTAATGAAGCTTCCTGTAGTCATAATTAGACATGAGAGTGCATGACAACATAGCCAAGCCTTTGTTTGTAGATCAAAGGATTGAAAAGTGAAAATACAACAACCTAAAAAAA